CTTCAGGCAGAGGACAGTGAGTTATATAGAACAAGTGGAGAAATGTGCTGTGGACATGGTTATCCTTTGCCCTCAGGTGGCCTCACCAAAGACCTGGGCTAGATTATCTGAGGATAGATTTACCCCACTCAGACAGAAGTCTCAACTCCACACTGGCAGATAAAGAAATAAAAAGACAAAATACATGGTAGTCTCATGGATGTGTCTACCTCATACCCTGAAACTGTTTTACCCGTCAACCTGGACTTTGCCTAGATGCCCTGGGGATGGATTCACCCAACTTGGGTGGGAGGGTCAATTCCAGCATGGAACAAAGAAACACCCAGAAGGGCATAGTTCTGCTGCCCCCAACCCCCACCCCCAGCCAAACCTGGCCAGTCAAACATACGGTCTCCCGGGAAAAGAAACACTCTGTAGCTTAGCTGGGGAGATTCCTGTCTGTTTTCCAGCTTTGTAGAGTTGTCCATGCTTGGCCAGGCTTCTGCTTTTAAACCAAAAACCGCATCCTCATGATAGGGCCTGGGAATCCTTCATCCTTTCAAACCACATGGCCAAGACTCCCTTCTCTGCTCCCTGGACTCATGGTTAAGAGCACACACGAAAGAGCCTCTCATGGCTGTCTTACTCTACTTTCCACATGGTCTAGAGCTCAAGCAGAGAGAGAAAGGGGGAGGGAGGGTGAGAGAGAGATAGCACACACTCCTGGCTACCACTGTACCTGAGTTTAAATAATGGCATGGATCTTCCTCAGTAACTCCATTTCCAACTACTCCCACAAACGGTTACACCTGCCAGCAGTCTGATTTCTTGTACCTTTCCTGGCTGCCATTGTTAGTCCCAGACAAGGAAGACCCTGTGAATGGGACCTAATCACCTTCCTGCACTCTCACAAATACAGCAACCCCTTCAGCTACAGAAGATCAGTGGTTAGAGTCAAACCCATCTCTCAGGCTCTGAGCAAGCCCAGCCTTTAACATTTCTAAAACACTGGCCAAGTTCTTTAACTACTCAAAGTAACCCTCAATGGCCCTCTCTGCTTACCCCATCCCCCAAGCAATTGCTGTGCGGGCTTTTGGATTTGGGGGGACCTCTAGCTCAGCACCTCATTAAACTGTGGGCAGCTCCTCTTCTGTGGGTAAGAATCTTAGGGTAGGTTTTAAACAATATTTATTAGCTTTCCACTTTCATTATTAATATGCTAATGCATCAAAATGAGCACGTGGGTGTGTTAGGGAATATTCTTCTGTCTACTGTTTCAGTTGCATCATGGGTCTTTGTGGCTTCTAAAAGGGTTTTGGTTATTTGTTCACCTGACTTTATCTTTCCTTGTATTTAGCTCCCACAATCACATTACTTACATCTCTGTTCTCTGTTTCCCAGACTGTGTTGACTCAAACCATGCATTCTCTGGTTGAGGAGGAGAGGTATAAACCATATCCTCTGAGTGTCCTTGGTTAGGGGAAATAAGTTCTTGTGATTCCCCAGCTGCCTATAAGTTGCTCAAACAGTTAGGCCTCGTTAATGTTTTTTTGTTTTGTTTTGTTTTGTTTTGTTTTGTTTTTGTCTCAGTTTCCTCATTCCATTGGCCTAGAAATTTTCTTGGTTTCTTCCTGTTCTTTCAAAAAATGAACTCTTTTCTTCATCTTGGCTTCAGTTTTCTCATCTGTAAAATGAATATAAGAATGTTTTATTATTTGCCCTGGCTGGCGTAGCTCAGTGGATTGAGCGCGGGCTGCAAACCAAAGCATCGCAGGTTCGATTCCCAGTCAGGGCACATGCCTGGGTTTCAGGCCATGGCCCCCCAGCAACTGCACATTGATGTTTCTCTCTCTCTCTCTTTCTCCCTCCCTTCCCTCTCTAAAAATAAATAAATAAAATCTTTTTTTTTTAAAAGAATGTTTTATTTCTAGGCTGTTGGAGAAGATCAGTGTTGAGGTATCCATTCCCAGTGCTGCAGATGTGACTGCAGCCTGCCCAGATTTAGGCCACTCCCACTTCTGCCTGTAGAATTATTCCAGGACAGCCACCCCTCACTCCCCCTGTACTCACAAGCACCTTTGTTTTGGGGTGTATTTGTGAATGTAATCAGGCTTCATATAACCCACTGACCCATGTGCAGGAAGACAGTTGCTGTGGGCACTGAGATCTCTGTGTGGAACATCAACCTGGGGATCTATCTCCTGGTGATTAGCTAGAGCTCCCTGAATCTCATCTAGCTGAAGGTAACCTGCAGGTCCTGTATCCTGTCTGGGTCTTTCTTGGTATTTGTTTTGTAACCCCAGAAAATGTTTGTTTTCCTCCGTAACATTTCTTAATGTATTTTCATGATATGGTTTGTATTTTTTAAGAATGGACCATGTATCTGGGAATGCAGTCCTTTAGCAAATTTACATTTGCTACCAAGATGTCTACAAAGATTGTCATCCATGAAGGTGTTGCGAGTGGGCATCCGACTCTGAAAAAAGGTTTTGTATCCAAGGATCTCATCTCTGCCAAGAAAGAATGATCACTTCACCTGTATTTGCAAATGACTTTTCTTATTGAATTTTCTACACACGGTCTATTCCAAAAGTCTAAGAGTATGACATATGCTTAGAAGCAAAGACAATGTACCAAATATATATTCTGTGACAGTATGGCTGTAATGTTGGCATCTGTGTGGTTTGGGAATGTGGGCATCTGAACTTAAAAGTTTTCACTTCAGAATTTCACCCCCTTGCTGGTAAGTGATGACACCTATACCGGTTAATGCAGTGACAGTGTATCCAAAGGACTGGAGATTCTTTCTGGCATAAAAATTAAGGTGAGAACACTGCAGAGATATATGAATGATGATTAGTAGGGTTATAAAATCAGCATTTTTCATTTTTTTAAATTTTCACTTTTCTGTAGTCTTTATTTTCCTTTTTCTGAAAGGTTTTGATCAATTTATGCCAAATCTCTAAGTATTTTTTGTTTTTCTTCTCTAAAATTTTGTTTCAAATTTTATTTACTTTTTTGCCTTGTTGTTTAACCCCCTTATACCCACCTCCCCCTTAATGAGCATTTTTAAATAGCTAGAAAACAACATGCTCTGAAGCCTAACAACAGGTAAGTCGCAATGGGTGGTCTTTAATGGACAGTGAGTTCTAAGAGGTAAGAGTGTTTACTTGAACTATAGCTATGAGGGAAACTTGGCTACCATGAAAGTCTCATTTCTACGAAGTGTGAATCTTTTGTGTTCATTAGAATTTGAGAACAGAAAAGTTAGGTGATAAATATATAGCAAGGTGTGAGGAGACAAAATTGGAATTGTGGGGAATAGCCATGGCATTATGTTTCATTGCTTTAATTATCATTTACTAATTATCTCACTGCTTCAGAGGCTGAACTAGGAGTGTGTTACACAGCAGTGATTAAAGAAATGTGATCATAACAAGGGTTGTTGCAAGGCTTTATTGAAGGAGCAGCCAACAATTCCAAAGGAAAATCTTCCATGGTATAATACATTGTTAGCTGATCTGTTATGTGGAAACATAGATTGACCAGCACTCAGGAGTGAGAAGCATGTGGACCCTGAGGAGGTTAAGAGCACACATTTAAAGGAGGGGAAAAGGGATTCGATTTAATGGGAAAGATGTTTCATGTACAAGAAAACACTGTAGAGTCTTCCCATGGTAGTAGTTGGCCTCCAGTGTCAGGCCACTGCTGTGATCCTTGTGCCATTTCCAGGGTGCTGGGGATTATGTTCATGTACAAGTGACTTTTATGATTTCTGGTAAGTTTTTAGATTTTTCTCAACTCTGGTACATTAGTTCAATTATTTCAAATTGTGGTTTCTATTTCAGTGTCATAAATGCTCTGAAATTTTCTTTTTTAAAAAAGAGATTTTATTTATTTAGTTTTAGAGAGAAGCAAAGGGAGTTAGAAACAGAGGGAGAGAAACATCAACATGTGGTTGCCTCTTGCACATCCCCAACTGGAGACCTGGCTCTCAACCCAGGCATGTGCCCTGACTAGGAATGGAACTGGCAACCCTTTGGTTCACATGCTGGCACTCATCCACTGAGCCACACTGGCTAGGGCTGCTCTGACATTTTCAATAGGAAATGCTTCTCACCTAATTATAATGAAATTTAATGTTTATTACACATATGCATACCCATAATTACTTGTTACTTATAATGGTTCATGTGATTTTTAAAGTGAGCTATACATAGGTCAACTATCATTATAAATATATGCTTCTTTTATCCTAACTATAATGTATACACATTTGTAATATGAAACATTGAGAATGCCTGAGACAGCATTTCAACTCATGTCTTAAATATTTCAATAAAGCACAAATTCTTTCACTATGATAAATACAAATGCATTTACACATTAACAAAGACACCAATCACTGTCACAACTCAATCTCTCGCCTAAATTATTTATCTTAACTGATAAATTGATGTTCAAATTATAGCTGAACAATAGAATTCCATTAATGTTTATATTATGCATTTAGTTCTTTTTTCTTTCAAAGGCTTGTGCTACAGTCTTGTGTTATACTTGTCACATACATATATGATGGTGTAAGTAGGTCGTTTGTGTAAATATTTTCAGGACTGTGTAATGCAGGTATACCTTTTGTATTATGGGTAACTTTTTTACCCTGTACTGAGCAAACAGATAATTTGTTGTAATTAACATGGTCTGAAGCCCCTTCACCAGGAAAAGATAACAACTTTCTTTAGCCATGTGCAAGAAGAGTTCCTCATGGGGACCTGGCATTTCCCAGTGCCTTTAGCCGTGGCTTAGTCATTTCTACTGTCGTGATGTGGGAGGACCTCGGAACACCACGTTGGAGTCTCAGCGTATCAAGCAGGGAACACAGTCAAGTCTACCCAATGGCGGAGGGAGGGGTCATTAAAGTCATTTCCGTTAAGACACCGTTGCTGGGGCGGGACTTCCGGCGTCCCCCTCTCCGTGGTCTTTGGCTTCAGCCAGAATTCACTCAATTACGTGCTCACAAGGTGCAGTTCCCTGGGTGCTGGTGGAGATGCCCGGGCGGGGAAGGCGCCAGAGTCGCGGTCCACAGAGATCATCCGAGAGGAAGAAGGTGGACGACATTGCCTGGGTGACCCGCGCCAGGGCTGAGACAGCTGTCGCCATGACGGAGGCGGTCGCCTCTCCCACGCCTACCTCCCAGTCTCGAGCTCAGAGTGTGTTGGCGGCCTCGCGGAGACGCCCGGCTGAGGTAAGTGCAGCCCCCTCACACCTCCACCCACCTCAACTGCCTCACCACACAGAACCCTGCATCCCGTGTGCGGACGCCCTGCAGTCCAAGCTTCGCTGGTGGGTCGGAGACGAAGGCTCATTGGAGAGAGGAGTGTTGTGGTTTCTGAGGCCAGCAAGTACAGAGCAGAGTGGGCAGGGCTTATTCGGATCTGAAACTCCCGCGCGCATCTCGGTGAGGATTATTGAGGCAAAGAGCCTAGAGGAGGCAGGGTGGACTTCAGAGTCAATAATTCGGGGCTTTACCGGGCTATAAGATCCAACAGAAAACTGGGGTTGTGCGGGATCCTGCTGGAACATAGCAGGCACTCTTTGGCTGCCATATGCCTAGTTCATGGATGAGTCCAGAGAGATGCCCGTCCTGTGTACAGCGGGAAGGTGGCAGACCTGAGGGAGTGGACCTGCAGTCTGAAGTTGTAAAGGAGGCAGATGTTCCACAATGGTGTGCACACCTAGAGGAAGTGTGAGCTGGATATCCTGGGTCCTGGTGTGAGGATACGGGGATGAATCCTAAGCTTATGTTTGACTATACCCTGGAGACATGATCTGGGAGACTGTGGCAGGAAGGATGGGAGCCTGTAGTCATGGCCCAAGGCTAAGGTTTCAATGACCTTTATGTGCCAGTTTGTAGGCTGTTGTTGTTGTTGGAAGTACTAATAGTAATTAATGGGACTAGCGCTGGCCTTAGGGCCTGAGGTCCACACTAAACTGGGCAGCCCTGGAGGAAATACAAGGAGGGGAAGATCTGTAAGAAGTAATATCGGGGTTCTCAGATAGACAGCTCTTCATTCATTTGTCTCCATTGTGACAGGTTGGTGTGACCTTTGCGGACATTGCCCTGTACTTCTCCAGGGAAGAATGGCGTCTTCTTGATGAAGCTCAGAGACAGCTGTACCTGGATGTGATGCTGGAGAACTTTGAACTTATATCTTCACTGGGTAATGCCTTCACTGTGCCTGTGGTGTGGACCAGGCTTTGCATTTCCTTATGCCCCCTGTTCGCTAGAGGTTACTCTCTTCTCATACGTGGACTATAAGCACTGCTCGATTTTCCAGGTTTCTGAGCAGTTCCTTTCCTTATTAGGGCTGCTTTGTTTGCACTACTCTTCTCCCTCTGCAATACCAGTACCTGTTGTTCTAAACCCACAAGGAGAAATTTGTGGTTTGTAATGTTGCATGGAGATTAATAAATACCACCTTGATTCGTGAGAAAAAATTTTTTTGTATTACTTTTGGTTGTGTGTGTGTGTGTATGAAAATTGTCTCTACAATTTTGGCTAATGAGTCTTTTGAATCCCTCGTGTACTTTATGTATTAATTCCTTTTCCCCTACTGGTACACATCTTTTCTCATTTCCTTAATTTTGCTTTGCAGATACTGCACTTAGGGATAAATTATTTTTAATTAGGTTATGTAGAGGGTTTTCTTTTTTTTTTTAACTAAATTGTTACTTTGTTAATAGCCTTCATACATTTATGTGACTTTTTCTGATCTGAACCCACAATATCTCCCAGCTATATTTTTATATAGATTATAAGTTTTTTCTGCCATCCTGAGATTGCCTTTTTTCTTTATTACTACTACTACTACTATTTTTATTATTATAATATTATATTGACTTCTATTTTTAGATAGAGGAGAAGGGAGGAAGAAAAACCATGATGTGAGAGAAACATTGCTCCTTCCCCTCTCTCTCCTGCCCCCATCAGGAACTGAACCCCCAAGTCCACTCCTGTGCCCTGACAGGGAATCCAACAGGCCACCTTTAGCTTTGAGGGGTGATGCCCAATCCTCTGAGCCACACTGGGCAGGGCTGCCTTTTCATTTCATTATGTTAAGTGCTGACCTGTGAAGAAGCTTTTTCATTTGTCTTAGTCCAGACTGTTTGTCTTTGCTTTATGCCTGGTGGTATTGTCACATTCAGAAGATTATTTCAAAAACAAATCTTCAGCCCTGACTACTGGAGCTAAGTCCTTCAAACTGGAAGGTCACCTGTTGGATTCAAGGTCAGGGCCCATGCCTGAATTGCAGTCTGGGATCCCAGTTGTTTGCATGTGGGAGGCAACAGATGGATTTTTTTCTCACATTGGTGTTTCTCTCCCTCTCTTTCTCTCTCCCCTTCTTTTGAGAAGAAAAGTAAGTAAAAATCTTCTAGAAAATAATATAGATTAAAAAAAACAAATCTCTAGAACTTCTTTAGGGTATCTGGAGGAGTTTTAAGTTTTAGGACTGACATTGAATTTTTCTACAAGTTTCAGCTCATTTTTTAAAAAATGTATTGATTATGCTATTACAGTTTCCCATTTTCCCCCCCTTATTCCCCTCCGACCTACACTCCCCCTCCCAACCATATTCCCTCCCATAGTTCATGTCCATGGGTCATACATATAAGTTCTTTGGCTTCTACATTTCCTATACTATTCTTAACCTCCCCCTGTCTATTTTCTACCTACCATTAATGCTACTTATTCTCTGTACCTTTTCCTTCTTTTTCCCCTTCCCACTCCCCTATTGATAACCTTCCATATGATCTCCATTTCTGTGGTTCTGTTCCTGTTTTAGTTGTTTGCTTAGTTTGCTTTTGTTTTTGTTTTAGATGTGGTTGTTAATAACTGAGTTTGCTGTCATGTTACTATTCATATTTTTTATCTTTTTCTTAGATAAGTCCCTATAACACTTCATATTATTATAAGGGCTTGGTGATGATGAACTCGTTTAACTTGACCTTATCTGAGAAGCACTTTGTCTGCCCTTCCATTCTAAATGAAAGCTTTGCTGGATAGAGCAATCTTGGATGTAGATCCTTGTCTTTCATGACTTGGAATACTTCTTTCTAGCCCCTTCTTGCCTGTAAGATCTCTTCTGTGAAATGAGCTGACAGTCTTATAGGAATTCCTTTGTAGATAATTATCTCCTTTTCTCTTGCTGCTTCTAAGATTCTCTCTTTATTTTTAATCTTGGGTAATGTAATTATGATGTGCCTTGGTGTGTTCCTCTTTTGGTCCAACTTATTTGGGACTCTTGAGTGTCATGGACTCCCTGGAAGTCTATTTCCTTTGTCAGATTGGGGAAGTTCTCCTTCATTATTTGTTCAAATAACTTTTCGACTTGTCGCTTTTCTTCTTCTCCTTCTGGTACCTCTGTAATTTAGATGTTGTAACGTTTAGAGATGTCCTGGAAGTTCCTAAGCCTCTCCTCATTTTTTTGAATTCTTGTTTCTTCATTCTTTTCTGATTGGATGTTTCTTTCTTCCTTCTGGTCCACACTGTTGATTTGAGTCCCAGTCTCCTTCCCAACACTATTGGTTCTCTGTACATTTTCCTTTATTTCATTTAGCCTAGCCTTCATTTTTTCATCTAGTTTGTGACCAAATTCATCCAAGTCTGAGCATCCTGATTACCAGTGGTTTGAACTGTGCATGTGATAGGTTGGCCATCTCTTCATTGCTTAGTTATATTTTTTCTCAAGCTTTGATCTGTTCTTCATGTGGGCCATTTTTTTTGTCTTGATGCACCTGTTACGTAGTGAGGAGTGGAGCCTTAAGCATTCACCTGGGAGGAGTAACCCCTGTGCTGCGTTGTGACACTGCATGTGGGGAAGAGGCCAGAGAGGGAACAATGGCGCTCTCTGCCAGATATTAGTCACTGCCCCCACTTCCCACAAGCAAATTGGGCCCTTCTGGTGCTGATTCCCGGGTGGGTTGGCTTGTGTACATTATAGGACCCTGTGGGTCTCTCCACTGAACTTTCCTGTGAGGCTGGGAGTTTCTCCCATTGCTGCTGCCACCCCCACAGGTGTTTCAATCAGTGGTTTGAGGCTTTATTTCCCAGTGCTGGAGGTCTGAGTTGCACAGTCTGTTTTGCTCCCCAGTTATTCCTCCCGGTTTATCTGTGTGCGAATGTACAACCACCTGCTCCACCAGCCACCACTGTAGCTTTGCTGGCCGCTGTAGCCTTGCACCCCAGCTCCACAATCTGGTACTGGGTCCTCCAGCTGTTGCCTTGCTGGGGAGTTGTCTCCGCCCCACTTACCAGTCTGGATGAGTCTGTCTTCTTTAACTCCTTGGTTATTGTGCTTCCATACAGTTCGATTTTCTGTCAGTTCTGGTTGTTTTTTGGTTTTAAATTGTTGTTCTCTTTCCTTTGGTTGTGCAAGGAGGCACAGTGTGTCTACCTATGCCTCTCTCTTGGCCAGAAGTTAGAGTTCCCCTTCTTAATTTCTTTATTTACTTGTTAATCCTGACCTGAGGACATTTATATTAATTTTAGAAAGAGAGGGCGAATGGGGTGAGAGGGAGAATCATGGATGTGAGAGAAAAATCACTTGGTTGCTTCCTATATATGCCCCAACCTTGGACCCAACCAGCTACCTACTTGTGTACTCTGACCTAGAATCAAACCCACAACCTTTTGGATGTTCAAGATTGTGCTCCAGCTGACTGAGCCACCTCGGTACGACTTCATTTCTTTTTTCTTTGGTTCAATTAGAGATTTTATTTATTTGTTAGAGGGAAATTAAGGGGGACAACATCAAGGGAAATTAGGAGAGAAGGAAATTAAGAGGGAAATTAAGAGGGGGAGAAACATCAGTGTATGTTTGCCTCTTATATGGCCCCCACTAAGGATTTGGCCCTCAATCCAGGCATGTGCCCTGACTGGGAATCAAACTGAGAGCTTTTCTGTCCACAGGTCGGTGCTCAATCCACTGTGACACACCAATCAGTGCTGTTTTATTATTTAAATTTTTTATGTGTACCTGATATTCTCCTATTGTTGTCATGCTGGTTTCTTCTTTAACTTGGTTGCCTTTGCATTGTCTGGTGGCTCATGGATATTTTTGAAAGTAAATATTTTGGATTCCTTATCAGGCTGTACATTGAAATCCATTTGTTTGTTATCGATCACTAGGAAATTATTTTGTTCTCTTGGTCATGTCCTTGTTTAGTATTCATTTAAACCTCTATTAATGTCTATGCATTTGCTGAAGCAGTAACTCCTTTCCATTTTATGGACTAATTCTGGCTAGAGGGATAGATTCATCTACATGTGGATTTCAGGGTCGCCTGAGTTGGTGTTGTGTCTCAGTCTTAGACAAGTCCCACCAACCTAGTCTCCTTGATGCTACATGAGATGAGGTCAGAATAAGAAAAAAATGCAGATCAACTGTTGCTTTGGCAGCATTTCTTTTCAATGACAGTCAAGGGTTTTGAAGTCTTTGATGGCACTGAATTTTTGGTTCTTCCTGGACTAGGTTGTGGACAAAGGGATGTGTTTTGGGTTTTATGCTGAGGAACTCTGTAGGGTCCTCTGCTTTATAAACCATGTGGAGTTCACAGATGTTACAAGACCTTCTCTGCTTCCTAAGAACAAAAATTTCCTGTGTTTTTCACAGAATAGTGCGTTAAGGCCAACCTGAGTGTAATCACAGTAGTTGATTGAAGTAACTGTGACCCTTGTTTTTGACCCTTGCTACATTCAAACTTGTTTGTTAACCCTTCTTTGCTGTCTTCTTTTCTGTGGTCTTCTGTGTTTTTTGCACATTGCTTTGCTGCTTGTCTTTTGTGTTTGTTTGTTTGTTTGTTAATTGATTTTAGAGTGACAATGAAAAGGAGGAAAAACATCACTTTGTTGTTCCAATTATTTATGCATCACTGGTTGCTTCTTGTATGTGCCTTGACCAGGGATTGAACCCACAATCTTGGCTTAGCAGGTAGATGCACTAGCCCAGCATCTCCAACCTTTTTGGCCCTGGGAACCTTTATACTGGAAGGTGGGGTGGGTGGCACGGGAGTGTACGGGGTTGAGGGGAGGGGAAATGGGAAGTGCAGTTCAAGTGAGCTTCTTGCTCACCCAATTCAAAGGGACAGGGAGGAGACAGGAGGACCCCGTCCTTCGGGGAATCTTCAGTTACAGCCCAGTTCCTAACAGGCTGTGGAGTGGTGTGAATCCATGGCCAGGGTTGGGGATCACTGCTCTAACCATCTGAGCTACCTGGTCAAGTCTGATTTTTTATTTGTCTTAATTAGATTTGTATTCTCCTCCTCCAGGATTGATTTTGTTTCAGGATAGCCATCTACTTGTGGAGAACGGAGAATTCTCCTATTTCTTATTTGTTTATCTTGCTGAAGTCACTCACATAGACCCTTTCTCTGTGGTCTCTTGTGCTTTCTTGTTCTACCACAGTGTTGCCCACCCATCTCTTCAGTTCTTCTCTTTGAATTTATGTCATCTGTATCCCATGTAATAGCTCCACTGAGATTTAAAGGTATGTTTCATTTCTGCATTGCAGGAAAAACACAATTCTATTCATGCCAGAGTAGGCACAGAGGCTGTCATGTTTTGGTGAAGGGGGTTGGAGAGGGTCTGGCACATGGGCTTTGCTAAAGTCATAACTAGGAACCCATTTTGTTGATTAGTATTTGGTTACCATTGCCAGTTCCTCACCCTATTCTATTTATGTGTGTGTGTTGTTGACAAAGTGTCAAATATTCAGTTCTGAGTTATCATTTTTAGTCAGATTTCCAGTCCACAGGTAATCTTTACCTATCTAAACTTTGCTCCTCAATTATTTCTCTTTTTTTAAGATTGTATTTATTTTTAGAGAGAGGGGGAAAGAGGGAGAAAGAGAGACAGAGAAACAAGCGATGTGTGAGAGGTACATTGATCGATTGCCTCTCGTGTGCCCCCAACTGGGGGCCTGGCCTGCAACCCAGGCATGTGGCCTGACTAGGAATAGAACCAGCAACCTTTCTGTTTGCAGTCTGGTGCTCGTTCCATTGAGGCACACCAACCAGGGCTTCAACTCTTTCTATTACAGGTTTGGTTTTGTTTTATTTTTTTTGACTTCACTCTAACTTTGGTCTATGCTTACAGACCCTTGGAGTACACACATATATTACACTGCCCTTGAACATTACAGGCTTTAGTAGTGTTCACAACTGATCTAGATGAGGTTCAGCTCATTCCAATTGTTCTACACAGGCTCACCTCACCAGCGGGAAAGGCTGAGGAAGCCATTTGTGGAAGAGTAGTAGTAGACCCTGATTATCTACTTCGTGTTTCATCCTAACTCGTGTCTATTCCTTGTTAAGGTCACCAACACTGGCATGCTTTTTGACCAAGTAATGTATAACAGCCATTTCTTCAGTGTGTAACTCCCGTCTCTTCAAAATGACCTCATACAATCATGCCTAGCTGTGAGAGCTGACCATTTATGCTTCCTCATAAGGTCAACATATACTTCACCAGTGTTTCCTTTTGTTCAGGTTGCTGCTGTGGAACAGAGGACGTGGAAGAACTGATTGAACAAAACATTTCTGTAAGAGTGGTAGAGGAAGAGAATCCCAAGGTGGCTTTGTCTTCCCAGAAGAGCCACCCATGTGAGAGTTGTGGGCCAGTGCTGAGATACATTTTCCATGTGACTGAAGAGCAGGAAACACACCACAGCCAGAAATCATTACAGTGTGGGCCATGTGCAAAACGATTTTGCTTCAGTACAAAGTGTCACCAGCAGCAAGAGCACCATGTGAAAGAGAAGCCTTTCAGAAGAGGTGGGGACAGGATCCTACTTGCAGAGGGCTGCAATGGCAGTATGTCCCAGAAGCTTTTTACCTGTGGGAAGGTTGGACAGGACATCCTTACCAAGTCAGAACATCTCCAAGAGGGTACTCACACCAGGGTCAGGCCAAATAAAATCTCACCATCTGGAGATAGTATTCAAAGCAGAGAAAATCATTTCACCCTGAGTGAATCTAAAACAGCCATTGGCTGGAACCATACCTATGTTCAAAAGAAGAGTGTCCATACTGGAAAACAGTGTTTTGTGTGCCATGATGGTGGAAAAAATGTCTTCAGAATTTCTAGCTTTTGTTATTGTCAGAGAGTTCCCAGTGGAGAAAAGCCCCATCAGTGCAGTGAATGTGGGAAATCTTTTAAAAAATTGTCTCAACTTCGTTGTCATCAGACAGTTCACACTGGAGAAAGGCCCTATCAGTGCAGTGTATGTGGGAAGACTTTCAAAACAAGAAGTAGCCTTTATTTGCATGAGAAAATTCACACTGGAGAAAGGTCTTATAAATGTAGTGAATGTGGGAAATCTTTCACCGATAGCACTCGCTTCCATTGTCATCAGAGAGTTCACACAGGGGAGAGGCCTTATGTGTGCAGTGAATGTGGGAAATCTTTTACCAGGAGCGATATCCTTCTCTCTCATCAGAGACTTCACACTGGAGAAAGGCCTTATGAGTGCAGTGAATGTGGGAAATCTTTTTTCCGAAAGAATTCACTTCATTGTCATCAGAGGGTTCACACTGGAGAAAGGCCTTATCAATGCAGTGAATGTGGTAAATCCTATCGCAGTAAACCTGGTCTTCACTCTCATCAGAGTTTTCACACAGGAGAACGGCCTTTTGAGTGTAGTGAATGTGGGAAATCTTTCTTCCGAAAGAATGCACTTCGTTGTCATCAAAGACTTCACACTGGAGAAAGATCTTATGAATGCAGTGAGTGTGGAAAATCTTTCACGAAAGGCACTCACTTCCATTATCATCAAAGAGTTCACACAGGGGAAAGGCCTTATGCGTGCAGCGAATGTGGGAAATCTTTTACCAGAAGTGATCACCTTCTTTCTCATCAGAGAGTTCACTCTGGGGAAACACCTTATGAATGCAGTGAATGTGGGAAATCTTATCAGAGTAAAACTGGACTTCTCTCTCATAAGAGTCTTCACACTGGAGAAAGGCCTTATGAGTGTGGTGAATGTGGGAAATCTTTCTTCCGAAAGAATGCACTTCTTTGTCATCAGAGAGTTCATACTGGAGAAAGGCCTTATGAGTGTAGTGAATGTGGGAAATCCTTTTATCAAAAGAGTGCACTTCGTTGTCATCAGAGACTTCACACTGGAGAAAGGCCTTATGAGTGCAGTGAATGTGGGAAATCTTTCTTCCGAAAGAATGAACTTCGTTGTCATCAGAATATTCATACAGGAGAAAAGCCTTATGTGTGTAGTGAATGTGGTAAATCTTACCACAGTAAAACTGGCCTTCGTTGTCATCAGAGTTTTCACACAGGAGAAAGGCCTTATGAGTGCAGTAAATGTGGGAAATCTTACCGAAGTCGTGCTGGCTTACAATATCATCAGAATATGCACACAGAATAAAAGCCTTATGATTGCAGTGAATGTGGGAAATCTTATCACAGTAAAACTGTCCTTCATTGTCATCAGAGTTTTCATTCAGGAAAAAGGCCTTATGAGTGTAGTGAATGTGGGAAATTTTATCACAGTAAAACTGGCCTTCATTATCATCAGAATCTTCACACAGGAGAAAAACCTTTGTATGTGGTGAGTGTGGGAAATCTTACCACAGTAGCTCTAGCCTACATTATCATCAGAAATTTCACACAGGAGAAAAGCCTTATGAGTACAGCAAATGTGGGAAAATCTTATCGCAGTAAAATTAGCCTGCGCTATCATGAGAGATTTCACACAGGAGAAAGGCCTTGTTAGTACAGTGAATGTGCAGAAGGTCTTAGATGTTGGGACATGTTCAGGATTTTACTTTCATGGTAACAGTAACAGGGAATTCTGTGAAGCCTTGTCTGAATGAAATCTCATACAGCCAAGCACTAACAGTAAGGAGGTTCCCGTGATAACCTTTCATATGTGAAGCGTGTGTGTCCATGTTGCACTTTCTTGATTTACCCACATAGTTTGCCAGATCCTCATCACTGCATATTTCTGTTGAAGGTATATCCTGTGTACTGCCTATAATGTTCCAAGAGATTCCATGAGTCATCATGGTTGATGTGGCCAGAAAAGGTAACTGTTGTGTGATTTGTTGGAGAAAATTAAGAGTAGCCTAGGTTTTTCATTCTCTTTTCCTTGTACTCTCACTACTTGGTGCAGTGACCTGACTCAATTTTGGCCCAGAAAACATCATCTGAATTCAGATGTCAGCTTGTAGGAGGACTGCATTTTTGTGGGACATGCTCATTTTTCCATAACCAGAGATCGTTTTTGAGTGTGCAGATCACCAATGCCAGAATTGCCAAGCTGATCTCCTTTGACTTGGTAAAATAATGGAGGACTTTTTCCCAAGTCTCCTTTAGTGTTGGGTGCTCTACTTATTGTGTGGGGTAGTTTACAAAGAGTTTTGGGCCCCACAAGCATCAAGATGTGAAGAACTTTTATGTGTGTCTCAACTTTGTCTGCCTCCATGGGGACAGTTTGGTGCAGAAATCAACTCAGTGATTTTGCCAGACTTGCATTCTTGCTCATGTGTTCCCAGGCAAGACTGTGCACTTTGTAGTTCATATGGGAAGCCTCAATGCTGTGAGGTTTGGAAGACATGGAGATCACCGCAAGGAATGGATAGCTGTGATAACCTCAATATGTCTGGGAGCAGCATGAATTTTATTCTTGTAATGGATGGCAATAGTATTGCAGGGAATCTCTGGCCTGGGCCTTGCAAAGTGTCATATGTCAAAATGTTTCCAATTCCATGGTGGATGGTCAAGTGGTAGCACCATAGCGGCGAAGGAAACTGATTGCAAGACTTCTATGTCAGGTACTGGAGGAGACTGAGGCAACTAGACAGAATATGCATTTTCTCAGCATGCATCCAGAAACGTTTCTGAGACTACAGGATCAGTGGTACACAAAAGGCAGGATCTTCAGAAATATTTATCTCTGTTGATTCAGTCATTGTCACTGAATATAATCAAAAGGTTTTGTGGCCCTGGCCAGATTGCTTAGTTGATTAGAGTATCATCCTGACATGTCAAGGTTCTGATTTCAATTCTTGGTTAGGACACATACAAGAAGCAAGAAATGAATTCACATGTAGTAGAACTACAAATCCAGATTTTTCTCTCCTACCCTCCCACCTCTTTTCTCCCTCTTCTTCTCTGTCCCCCACTTTCAGTTTCTCTCTAAAATGAATAAAAATTTTAAAAACGTTTTTGGATTTCTGTCATGTCCAAGATGTCCATGTCAGAGCCACTGGTACCCTGGTAGAAAGAAAAGTGAAGAAAAAGTGAATCTATTTTCAGGGGTGTAGCTATTTTGACCCAGCCAGCAGTGTTGTTGCTTTCAGTGAGTTTTTTATTTTTTGCTTTATATGCTGTTAGGGAACGTGCCAATAAGAGCACATGAGAACATGGATTGAATGTAGAGTTGTTAGCCCTATTTTCAAAATGAGATGCATGTACACATTTAAAAAATTTTGATCCACTTTTGAAATGTTACAATTAGTAAACATCATATTTCAAGTATAATGGTTGATCAGTCTTCACTTATACATGACATTCAAACCATCACCATTGTCATAGTACTGACCATTACTGTCTCTGGGAATTTACCTCATGGCCATTTTAATCTCTCCTACCCCTCACAGCTCTGGAAGTAAACAATCATTCCATTCCATTCTAATAGATAGCTATGCAGTTTCTTCATTTTAGATGACGTGACTAACATTCTACTACCTTATACATTGCATATATATTTGGAGATTTATTAATGGTATATTAGTGATTCATCTCTTTTTGCTGAGAATTAATTATTTTTTACTGTATATTTTTTATTATGCTATTATAGATGTACTATTTTTTTCTCCCTTTTCTCCCCCTCTGCCCTGTACCCAAATCTCCTCAGCATTCCCTCTCCCCCTTAGATCATGTCCATGAGTCATACATATAAGTTCTTTGTCTTCTCCATTTGCTGTACTATTTTTAGCCCCCCTCTGTCTATTTTGTACTTAACATTTATGCTTCTTATTCCCTGTACCTTTTCCCCCATTGTACTCCTTCCCTGTCCCCACTGATAACCCTCCATGTGACCTCCATTTCTCTAATTCTGTTCCTGTTCTAGGTGTTTTCTTTGTTTTGTTTTTAGGTTCAGTTTGTGATACTTGTGAGTCTGTTGTCATTTTACTGTGCATAGTTTTGATCTTTTTCCCTTAGATAACTCACTTGAATATTTCATATAATAAGGGTTTGGTGATGAGGAACTCCTTCAACTTCACCTTATCTGAGAAGCACTTTGTCTGCCATTCCATTCTAAATGAGAGCTTTGCTGGATAGAGTAATCTTGGATATTGGTCATGAATTCCTTTCATGAATTCGAATACTTCTTTCCAGCCCCTTCTTGTCTGTAAGGTTTGCTTTGACAAATCAGCTGATAGTGTTGTGGGAACTCCTTAATAGGTAAGTTTCTGCTTTTCTCTGGCTGCTTTTAGGATTCTCTTCTTATCTTTAATCTTGGATAATTTAATTCTGATGTGTCATGGTGTGTTCCTCTTTGGGTCCAATATCTTTGGGACTCTCTGAGCTTCCTGGACTTCTTGGAAGTCTATCCCCTTGGCCAGATTGGGGAAGTTTTTCTCCTTTACAAATAAGTTTTCAATTTCTTGCTCTTCCTCTTCTGGCACCTCTGTGATTTGGTCAGTGGAACATTTAAAGTTTTCCCACAGGTTCCTATGCCTGTTCCTCATTTTTTTGAATCCTGTTTTTTCCTACTGTTACAGTTGAATGTTTATTTTTTCATTGTTTCAAATTGTTGAGTCTCAGTTTTCTTCCCCTCACTGTCGTTTCCCTGCATATCTTTTTTTATTTCACTTTTCACAGGCTTCACTTCTTCCTCTCTTTTGGAACCATACTCAGTCTTTTCTGTGAGCATCCTGATTACCAGTGTTTTGAACTCTGCATCTTGTGGGTTAACTATCGCCTCATTGCTTAGTTGTTTTTCTGGAGCTTTGATGTGTTCTTTCATTTGGGCTATATTTCTTTTTCTTGGTACTGGTCTTACATGGTAAGGAACAGGGCCTTAGGTATCACCAGGGCAGAGTAACACACCTCACCATGTTGTATTTGCTATATATGACAGAGGGGGCTGAGAGGGAGCAATGTGGCTTGCTTGGCTCTCTCTCCACTTTCAGTTCCTTTCCCCAATACCCACCTGCAAATTGTGCCCTTTTGGTACTGACTCCCAGTTGGGTGGGTGTGTGTACATTCTAGGGCATTATGCGTCCCTCCACTGGACTGTCCTATGAGACTGGGAGTTACTCTCACCACTGCGACATCCACAGGTTTTTGCGGCCAGAAGTTTTGAGGCTTTAGTTTCCCAGATTGGAACCCTTGATTGTGTGGTCTGTGTCGCCCTCCAGTTGTTCCTCCTGGTTTATCTGCACACAAATGGACTTTCATTCTGCCATCCAGAGCCTTGCTCACACAGTCTGCAACTGCAACAGTTATCTCCACCCCAGCTGCCTGTTTCTGCCCCTTCTACCACTCTGGATGAATATTCTTAACTCCTTGGTTGTCAGACTTCCATACAGTTCAATTTTTGACAATTCTGGTTTATTTTTTTTGTGTTTTTAAATTTGTCCTTTCAGTTGTGTAAGGCAGCAAAATGCATCTACCTACACCTGTATCGTGGCTAGAAGTTAGAAATATTCTCATCTTTGAAGGTAGCACTATGTGTTTATACATTCATTTTGGTTATTTCTAATTTTTGACCATTTAAAATTAAGCTGGTACAATGTTTTTCTCCTTGTTTTAATATCTTTATTTTTAGAGAGAAGGGAAAGAGAGGGGGAGAAACATCAATGTGTGGTTGCCTGTCGTGTGTCCCCAACTGGGGACCTGGCCCACAACCAAGGCTTGTGACCTGACTGGGAATGAACCAGTTGCCACTTGTTTTGTAGGTTGGCACTAAATCCACTGAGCCACACCAGCCAAGGCTAAATATTTGTTATAATTTTTTACATAGATATAAGTTTCATTTACTTTTGTCCATAACTCAGTGCATAGTCTGAGTCATAGGTCAGCTGAGTGCTTAAGTTACAGAAATTAGCAATTTTTTATCTAAACTGATTGATTGTACCTTTTTGCATTCTTCCAGCATTGTGTGAGAGGTTCCATTCCTCCACATCCTAGAGAATATTTGATTTGGTCAGTCAAATGTTGATGTAAACTTTTTTTTTTAACTTTGTACTGCTATTGCACCATTGTTTCGTAATTATGTTTCTGAGGATTTATGATGAGCCTTTTCTCAGATGTGCACTTGCTATGTCTGTATCTCTACTAAATGTCTGATCCTATGTTCTAGCTAATCTGATAGTAGTTTTGGCAGTTTTTTTATAACAAAAGGACAGCAAAACAACAAAGGTGCATGTTAGAATTTCTCATGTCTGACCTTTCTTGTTTCATGAAATATAATTTTTTTCATATTGGAATCAAGTTTTAATACTTTTTCTCTATATTTTGCACAATGTACTGCCACTTTTGATTTTAGTCTCCAGTATTGACATTCTTTATCAGTTGAAAAAGTCCAGTCATTTGATAATTCAAATAGCCCTTGTTTTGTAGTGTAATGTAATCCCATTTTTCTGGTCTTATATCATGGGGGCTCTTGGGATGGACAGGTTTCTGAAGGAGACCCGATGGCATCAGGATGTGCAGAGTGTTTTGAAAGCTCATGCACAGTGAAATAGATGGTTATGATCATTCATCCTATGGTCTGAGTGAGGCACTTTGCATTTGAATCTGATTCTCAAATGGTACCCACAGTCAAATTGTTACAGGAAGGAATCAATGTGCAGCAGATCTCCCTCAGGCAGCCTATAGTGTGTGGGGTTTTGACTTTGTGCAGGAAAGATTTCACAACAGGAGTCCACCCAATTGTTCAGGGTATGTTTAGGAAGGTGGGGACAGTGCAACCAAGGAAGGACTTAGGGTAGAGGAAGTAACAGGAGACTAGGTGATGCTCTGCTTTGGCTTCTTAGAAAAGTTGTAAGAAAGGAGTGAGCCACAAGAAGGCTGCTTTCAGGTCACAGGAAAGTCAGAGGAAAGGAAGCCTTGCAGACATTTTCAAAGGGTAGTTTGGAGTCAAGATGCCAGTGGCTGCAAGTCTCATGGGGACAGGTAGAGTTTAGGAGGAAGTACAAAATTCATGCCAGGGAAGGGGCATGGATGTGCTTCAGAACCAGCCAGCCCTGAGCCTTTGTCCTGAGAGCTTTTTATTTCTATTTGGCTTGTGACAATCTTAGGGGAAAGTTTGGGAATATTTTTTGGTGTGCTATGGTAGTTTGCTTTTTTCTTGAGTGTGGCTGGCTTTAATGGGGTTTATTGTTGCTTGCTCCCCTGAATTCATGTGTCCTTGGGTCAGCTGGCACAAATGACATTTGATCTCAGTTCTCTATTTTCTAGACCAGGGAAATTGAAGCTGTGTATTCTCTGGTCAGGGAGGGGAGTTATGAACCATTTGTGCTCAACTGTCCCTGGTTAGGGGAGATAGGGTCTTGTGATTCACCTGCTGGCTGTAAGTTGCTCAAACTTTTTGACTTTGTTTAATTTTCTTGTCTCAGTTTTCCTGTTGCACTGGCTCTGGAATTTTCCTTGCTTCTTACTACATAGAAAAGGGAACACATATGCAAATAATTCTTAACCAGGCTCCAAGTTTGCTACTTCCCTCAGAGGTGACATGTTTCGGTTTGGGTGTTACTGAGTTCCACTTCTGGTAGTAGCAGGACTGTAAACCTGGGCAGGAGCTGGCAGTTCTGTGTTGCAGACAGAGAAATGAAACAGCTGCAGCTGCTTTTGGGAAGCAGCAGGGGAGTGAGCGGGAGCAGGCTGTTCTGCACTCACCATGGGTTTTGTTTGAATCTCTAGAAACAGCCCAGCCTCTTACCAGGGCTGTGAGGAAGGTGTTCTCTAAGTCATCTCTCTTTATGGCAACAAACATTCTATAAGACTTTCTTAATCCCTGTGTTGGTAAAGAGCCACAAACATCTGAGTATAAGGCATTTCTTCCACTTGTCTTCATTTTTGCAAAACAAATCTAGTTGGACAGTAGTGTTATAATTCAGAGATCCAGTTACAGGCCTGACTTTTCTGTCCTTGAGTTTATATTGAGGCCAGTGACATTGTAAAGAAAAATGAGGCATTTTTTTTTTCATGCTCATCACCCTTAAGTTGGACCAATTGTCAGGGAGACACCCCGGGTGGATGAATTTCAGGGGATGCTTTGCTACTGCCCATTTTGTCCTTGTTTTCCCTGGTGGGTGCAGCTGATGATGGAGGCTCCCTGTGCCAGGATGTGGGGCAGCAGATGCAGGGCCAATTCAGTTATTCCTTAGAGTTTTATAAACTTGTCCTGTTCAATGGTATGACCTGAAATTTTATTTTTAGAAAATGTAATTTTGAAATAGGTCAGAGCTCTTCCATGGATTTGTAAACAGTGAGACTTGTTTGTAAATGTATCAGAACAAAACAGTGACTGTCTTTAGATAACAAAAATGAATGACCCGCTTACAGGTCTGATCCCTTGCAATTCTCAGGGATCTCCCTCCTTTGCACATGACACCACATCCCAGTCACGTTCCAAATGTAGGTAAAGGTGTGTTAGCAGTGTGTAGACTCCTGGAGAGTTCTACATACTCTCTAGAATATTCACTTTACTAATAAAAATATGTGTGCAGAAGTCAAACCTAGTTACTGTCTGTTTAATTAGCAAAACTTCTCATGTGTTTTTAGCAAAGAAAATAGGCCTAAGTCATCCAAAATTTCTTTTTATAAGGAGAAAGAATAAATCCTTGAGATATTTCAGGGGTCACTGAATGATCTCCAAGACATTTCTAGGTTAAGAAGGAGTCTTTTAAAATTTCAATTCTGAGATGCTCGTCAAACTTATTTGACCTAAGGATTATATGTTGTTATGAAATAATATTTGACTTTATTCAGTTAAGGTGATAATAAAATATATGAAACATTAATATATGCTGGCAAACTTTCAA